ATTTTAATCAGTAGGTTAAGTATAAAAAGTAGAAAACTTGAAGAATGGGAGACAGTTCTGTATTCACACCAACTTAACCAATAATGCAATAGCTTTTTGTGAGCAGTCTCTGTCTCCCAGAAACTGTCAGATGCTTGAGACAGAGATTAATAAGTGGTTTGGTCTCCTCTTAAAAGTGAGCATTAAAAGAAAGAAAGAAAAAAAAAATTCCTGCCTTGATGAACAGACAATGCAGCTGATAAGACAACTAAGACAAACAGAACTATCAAATACAATGAGTTTAGTACGATGAGAGAGGAAAGTTCAAGTATAATGGGAGCACACAGGAGGAAACACCACTAGCAAGATTACTAGTTCAAGTTAGAGAAATCCATCATGTATACGAAAAACCATGGGGATTTCATAAAGAATGCTCCACCAGGACAAGCAAAATGCAAGAGGTTGGATTTTAAGAGCTTAAACTAAGTTTCTTAATACTCTTAATAATTATAATCAGTTGCTACAGCTAATTAGACCTCAAAAATAGTCTAAACCAATACAAAAACAGAAACACACAAAAATCTCAGACTATCTTATTTGAAATGACTATAAATGGTATTTTCACATGATTCTAAAATAACAGAAATCCATTTTTTCTTCTAATACCATATTTCAATTTTATTTACTGATTTTGGTATTTGCTTTGGTAGAAAACACTGCTAATTTTGATCCCAATGCTTGACCTACTGTAATTTTTAAAATAACAACAAAAAAACCTTCACACAAGCCAAATGGAAAGTAGTGTTATAAGTACATAAAAATTAAATAGTAACAATTTAACCAAGGTCACTAGAACATTTTCGGTTTGTTCTCCACTTAAAAGCAGAGCATTTAAAAAAAAGAAAAGAAAAAAAAGAAAAGAAAAACTATGCATGTGTGCCTGTGTTTGGGATGGGACAATTTCTTTTAGACTTCCTATTGAGGTACTTACAGTGCTGATCACAATCAACTCTGGCAAACACTACTTGATTTTCATTTGGAAATTCTTCCTTAATGACATCGGAAGCTTCCTCAAAAATTGGATGCAACATCTGACTGAAACGACACCTATACACAGAGAAGGATGCCAATTAGAAATGAAAAGCAGAAATAATAAAATCTTATTTCAGTTATTGCCCGTTGACATTTGATATAGGCACAATGAACAACTCTTCGAGATAATCACACACTTAATTTAATCATGGACCCTGACGTTGTTCAATGGAGATGAAGACAATTTTGAATTCAAAGACTGTATAACAATTCTAAGAATGTATAATAGATTTTGGTTTTATTCATCTTAAGATAATTGCCAGTATTATGGAGCACACAGCTAAGGATCTCTTGCAGAGGTCATAAAACAAGTCTGAAATAAGCCCTCTAAGAAGTACTACTAGGATTTGCAACTACTGAGGCTTGAACATTTATGAAAGAAATTAGCTTTCTCTATTTTATTTAATTTTTTTTTGAGACAGGATCTCATTCTGTTGCACAGGTTGGAGGGCAGGGGCACAATCTCAGCTCACTGCACCCTCCAACTCCAGGGCTCAAGTGATCCTCCCACCTCAAAATAATAAAATTTTAGACTACTGTGTAAAATATTTTAACTATATTGTAGATATTAGACTGCTCCACCTGGCTAGTTCTATCAAATCTCACAGGCAAGTTAGCATACCAAATAAATAAGTTATATTAAAAGAATATATGGTATATAATGACTATTTCCCCTCAAAATTTACCCCTTGTTAAAATGGGCTTTTACATCTGTAAACATACTAAATACAGTAAGTCTAGAAGCAAGTATCTTAAATTCCTAACCAAGACTTCCTGTCTATATTTTCTTTTACTTTAAACACAAGGCACAAACCCCACAACAGTCTGTCAACTTGTTACTTCTAACTGTCCCTTAATCAAGTCAAACATTTCACAAATACAGTCATGTGGTGTTTAACAACAGGCATATACTCTAAGAAATACACCATTAGGTGATTTCTTCATTGTGCAAACATCATAAAGTATACTTATACAAACCTAGACGGTATAGCCTAGCATGCATCTACACTATATGGTATACAGCCTCCTATTGCTCCTAGGCTACAAACCTGTACCACATGTTAATATACTAACTACAGTAAGCAACTAACACAACAGCACTTGTGTATCTAAACGTATCTAAACATAGAAAAGGTACAGTAAAAATACGGTATTATATATGGGACTTCTGTCATTGACCTAAACATCATTATGTCATGGATGACTATGTTCTAGGTCATTAAAGGGACCCAATAAGAAGGGGAAGAATCAGAATTAGTAACCAGCTGAGTTAGAATGGTCTTTCTCTTACAGAAGAAGTATTAAGGATATGTAAACAAACTACAGTTGCTACTCTTGCTTCCGGAGCCCTTTTCCACCAAATAATTTACTTAAATGATGTCAGTGAACAGTTTAATCCACATGTAATTAGGTAATACATATTAGCTTTCATACAATAAAAATATTGGAAAGCCTGTGAAAGGATGCAAACAATATACTTCCTCCCTATTTCTTCTTGTGTATATATATATCTCTTCTAGCCCACTCACCTGACTTCCTAAGGAGATGTCCTAGAATATACCAAGGAGACACATCTGTATCTTCAATCTCTTGCTTTCAAGTGGCTCTTTCCTCTTTTAGCATTCTTAAATCTCTCCCATCAGGGATAAGTGGGTGGGGTCTGTGGACATCATGGACCGTGTCTTATTTGACTACGTAGTCTAATAAGCATTCAATATATGTGTATCAAATGAATAAATTGACAGAATGGAGCGACTAGGACCCCAGGTTTGCAGGTTCTTACTGTCTGTAGAAAATAAGGTAGCTGGAGGGCAGGGGGAGGCAGGGAGTCCCATTAATCAGGGGCTGATTAATGGTTTCTTGAAAAATTTAGATCTGACCTAGTGAAGAAAGAGCGGGCAAGCCTCTTTATGGCTTAAGGGCAACGTAAAAAAACACATCAAGGGCTTCTTTTCTCTAGATTGTCCAGTTTGCCACCCAGTAAGTATTTAAGCATGGTTCATGTTTAAAATAGGACCTGTCTTAATACAGGTTGAATGTCCCTAATCCGAAAATTCAAAATGCTTCAAAATCTAAAACTGTTTGAGCACTGACAAGATGCTCAAAGGAAATGCTCATTAAAGCATTTTGTATTTCATATTTTTGGGGTTAGTGATGTTGAACCAGTAAGTATAATGCAAATATTCCCAAACCTGAAAAAACCCAAAATCTGAAACACTTCTGGTCCCAAGTATTTCAGATAAGGGATACTCAACCTGTACCAAAAGATGAAAAGGGAAAATGAAATAAAATGTTACGTTTATAAAAGGAACATCACAAAAGAAATGGATCTATTAAAAGGGCCTAACGGTCATCTAAACCTAATCTCCAATCTAGTACTTAAATCAATCCTTAACAAATCTACCAAATAGATAAGTCTTTGCAGAGACATTCTGAGGGCACTTACTAATATGATCTAGTTAGAGAAAGAAATAAGTTTTGCAGTCAGGCATACCTGAATTTAAATCCCAGTTCCACCACTTACTAGCCATATGACCTTTCTGAGCCTCAATTCCTCAACCTAAAAGGAAATTATAATACCTACCTGCAGAGTAGTTCTGAGCATTTAAAACAACCTATGTAAAGAGTCTGGATGGGAATGGTTAATGGGTACAAAAATATAGTTAGAATGAATAAGATCTAGTAGGATGACTACAGTAAACAGAAATGTATTGTACATTTTTAAATAAAAGAGTAAAACTGGAATGTTTGTAACATAAATGATGAATCCTTGAAGTGATGAATACTCCATTTACCCTGATGTGTGTTTTTTTTGTTTTTGTTTTGAGACAGAGTCTCACTCTGTCACTCAGGCTGGAGTGCAACAGCGTGATCTCGGCTCACTGCAACCTCCGCCTCCTGGGTTCAAGCAATTCTCCTGTCTCGGCCTCCCAAGTAGCTGGGATTACAGGTGCCCGCCACATCCGGCTTTTTGTATTTTTAGTAAAGACGGGGTTTCACCATGTTCGTCAGGCTAGTCTTGAACTCCTGACCTCAGGTGATCCGCCCGCCTTGGCCTTCCAAAGTGCTGTGATTACAGGTGTGAGCCACCGCGCCCGGCCATGTGATTATCATACTTTGTTCACCTCTATCAAAATATCTCATGTACCCCATAAATATATATACCTACTATGTACCCATAAATATTAGGTAATCTGTTTTAAATAGTCTGGCACAAAACAGCATTATTAACCACCTACTACAGTATTACTCGAGGAGCTGCAGTATTTTTAAGCACCTCTATTACAGAATTATTAAACTGTGCCACATCCATAACTTCCAGAAGGAACTCAGAGTCTAGACTTTGAGGCCACATAGTATTAAGTCTATGTCCTACAGCCAATTACCCAAGCTTTTTCAGCTGTATAAAAGAGTATTAATTCATTAACAACTTAAGGTATTCTTGAGGTAATGTTTTACCAAATAACTTAGTCCACGTTTCCAATTCAGTTTTTTTTTTTTCCAAAAGATCCCAGCAGCATGTTCTATTACTCTTTCTTGCAACATACAAAATCTCTCAGTCAGGAGAAAGTCGCTCTAGTTTTTCTTCAGACATCATCTAGTTGGGTAACCTTGGGAAAGTACTTCACTCCCCTGGATTTCAGTTTTCTTATTTTAAAATGGATTGGACTACATAATCTTCTGCCAAATTTTGTGGCTATTAATACATCTTGACAACCCTAATTTACCTTGAAAAATGCTACCTTTGTTACATATTTTATAAATAGCATTTTCTCTGTGTATCTGCAACTTTTTTAAACTGAAGTTTTTTAAATAATCATACCATATATACATTCATTTAGCAGACATTATGTACTTATCAGCCACATATTAAGCAAAGTGCTTGGGGATTAAAGTTGAAAATAAAACTATGGTATGTATTTTCACAGAGCAAACAATGTAGCAGGGAGTCACCAACTGGATTACAGCCTACAAGTGTTATGACTGGGTAAGTATGGGTGTTACGGGAAATAACAGAAGGGCTCCTAATCAGAGTCAAGAGTAGGGGAAGGTGTATTGATCCAGGAGGATAACCTGGAGAAAGTGGCAACTAATCTAAGACTTGAAAGATTAGAAGTTAACTAAGTAAAGAAATGGGTGACAGAATAATGATCCATCCAGGCAGGGGAAATATCATACCTAACAGTCCAGTGATGAAATACAGAATTTTACAGGAATTGAAAGCAGCTTAGTTTAACTGGAGCAGAATGTGGAAGTGGAGAGAGGCCAGACATAACAGCTACAGAGGGAATAAGAGATCAGTTCATAAGGGGCCTTCTGTAAAGGATTTAAATTTTAACCCAAAGGTAATGGAAACATTTTAAGGGTTTTAAGAAGGGGTATAAACTAATCTTATTTACACTGTAAGAAAGAGAACTCTGGCTTACATTGTAGAGAACATAATGGAGATACGTAAGCCTAGAGCACAGAAAAGAAATGAGGAGACTGTAGCATGAATTCTAAGTAAATGACAGGACTGTGACCTGGAGTATGGTAGTCATAGCTAGTAGGTAGTAAGCCTTAAAGGGTCAGATAAGATACAGAGTGTCTAGTGATAAAGACTATGCCAGTGTTTCAGACTCTTTCCAGCTAAATCTCCCTTGTGTTTCAGAATCTTTCTAGCTAAATCTCCCTTCTTCCTGTCTCCATGCCATATTCTGTAACATCTACTATACAACATGTTGTTCTAGATGCTGGGAATACTGAGTATGCCATTATCTCTGCCCTCCAAGTTTGTTTGCTAGGGCACAAACAAATAAGAAAAGACAAAACATTTAGTAAGAAAAAGAAAGTGGTACATAGAGTACTATATAAACACAAAAGACAGGCGCTGATTCAGCCAGGGGAAGGAGTAAAGGTATCCTAGAAGAGGCAGCAGATTGTATAAATTTTAAAATGTCAACATTATTTTTCCTTCTAAACTTGCCATACCCAAATCATGACTTACAAACACTACCCTCCTTCCACAGTCAGGACAAATACAGAATTGCAATATGTGTTCCCTTTGAGTGGGGGGTGGAGAGAGTCATATTTAAGTTATGTGTTACCTGTTTTAAGATATGTGATAACAGAATCAACTCTATTTCTTTCTTAAAACAGAAATCCTTACCAAATTAAACTACTTCCTTTGTGGATGAAACTTAATTGACTTTATGTATGGAATACTGTCTTGAAATAGTAAAAGCCTTCCCTTCTCCTTTCTAGCAAAGAAAAATTAACCTTTAGCAAGTAAAAACAAACCCAAACCCAAACAATAAGATTACTTACCAGTCAGCATAAAAATTTACTAAAGCAACATCAGCATTGTCTGAAATTGAAAGACAAAACCAAAGAAACTAAGTTATTTGTAATAATTTTTACATAATTAAAGATACAGTTTCATTATGATCTTTGTCCAATATAAGGGTCCACTTAAAAAAACACAGTAACTATTATCTCTCACTTAGAAACCTAGAGTCATGGACAGCTTATAGAATTTATGGGAAACTTTGTCTCTTTTCTCTGTATGCTTTATAAGTTCACTGCATCTTTTATTTTAAGGAGACTGGGTCTCACTCTATTGCCCAGGCTGGAGTGCAGTGGCATGATCAAAATCCAGTGCAGCCTCAAACTCCTGGGTTGACGTGATCCTCCCACCTCACCCTCCCAAGTAGCTAGGACTACAGGCAAACACCACCACACCTGGCTAACTTTTTTTTTTTTTTTTTTTTTGAGACGGAGTCTCGCTCTGTCCCCCTGGCTGGAGTGCAGTGGCACGATCTTGGCTCACTGCAAGCTCCGCCTCCCGGGTTCACGCCATTCTCCTGCCTCAGCCTCCCCAGTAGCTGGGACTACAGGCGCCCGCCACCGCGCCCAGCTAATTTTTTGTATTTTTAGTAGAGATGGGGTTTCACCGTGGTCTCGATCTCCTGACCTTGTGATCCGCCCGCCACAGCCTCCCAAAGTGCTGGGATTACAGGCGTGAGCCACCGCGCCCGGCCTTTTTTTTTTTTTTTTTTTTGAGACAGAGTCTCACTCTGTTGCCCAGGTTGGAGTGCAGTGGCGTGATCTCGGCTCACTGCAAGCTCTGCCTCCCGGGTTCACACCATTCTCCTGCCTCAGCCTCCCAAGTAGCTGGGACTACAAGCGCCTGCCACCATGCCAGGCTAATTTTTTTTGTATTTTTAGTAGAGACGGGGTTTCACCATGTTAGCCAGGATGGTCTCGATCTCCTGACCTTGTGATCCGCCCGCCTCGGCCTCACCTGGCTAATTTTCGAATTTTTTTTGTAGAGACAGGATCTGGTTATATTGCCCAGGCTGGTCTTGAACTCCTGGCCTCAAGCAACCTCCCACCTTAACCTTCCAAAGTGCTGGGATTACAGGCATAAGCCATCACACCGGGCTCCGTTCATTGCATCTTAAATGAATTTAAAGCAAATGGGAAATTAAGCCCAGATAAGGCAAGTAAGCTACTATCATAAAAAGTAAAGTGGAATGATCTGTATTTTATTTTTTGATCTTCCATATTCACAACTGAGAATTAGTTCTGCAAACAAAATCCCACATCACAGAAAAGACCTGTATAACTAAGTTATTTCTAAACCTCACATATCCCACCTAGTTGCAACAAGTAATCTACAACTAACAGTGTTGCACAAGACGCCACGTTTTTGGTTCCTATCCATTTAACAGTTATTCCCTCCTACAAAAATAACAGCATCATTTGCATATCAGGATGTAAAGACATGAGAAAGATGTAGCGCTTTTTGCCTAACCCTAATTCAGAGAAACTTAAACTCCTCAAGCACTCATGAAAAAAACAAAGATATTCTAGAATTGGAAAGATGACAGAAGTGAGAATGATATGTGAGTTTCAATTCCTTTCTTTCCTTTTTACCATCAAGTTACTTTTTATATACTTGCTTATTTGCTCTAAAGCAATGATTCACAAACTGTGGTTCCTGGACCAGAAACACCAACATCACCTGGGAACTCACAGACATGCAAATCCTTAGGTAGGGGTCTAGCAGTTTCCTAGCAGTATAGATATTAAAAAGTGTTCCAGGTGATTCTGATACGTGCTAAAGTTTATGGAACCACTCCTCTAAAGAGACTCCATAAGACAGGAATAGACTTTTAGCATTTAAAGTTCCAGGAACATAACATATTACACTCAATGAATGTTGTAACTCCTTTTGCCTCTATTACATGCGTAAGATGGATGGTTAAAAAAAGAAATTATTTATGCACACTGTACATTTTCTTAAAGCTCCTAAGTTATTATTTTCTATCAACCACATCTTCAGCTTTCCTTTACTATTTTTAAAAAACAAGAAATGGTTTCTCAAGTTAATTATATCCATAACCACATTGTCAGCAAACAAACCATTCAGCAAAAAACTTATCAGGCCAAGTGTGGTGGCTCATGCCTGTAATCCCAGCACTTTGGGAGGTCAAGATGAGAGGACTGCTTGAGGCCAGGAGTTTGAGACCAGCCTGGGCAACACAGCGAGACCATGTCTCTACAAGAAAAATTTAAAATTAGCTAGGTGCAGTGGAGCACACCTGTAGTCCTAGCTAACTTGGAAGGTTGAGGAAAGAGGATTGCTTGAGCCCAGGAGGTCAAGGCTGAAGAGAGCTATAATATTATCATGTTACTGCACTCCAGTCTGGGTGACAAAGCAAGACCCTTTCTCTAAAACAAAAAATAAAAATAGTACTGAACTTAACTGGACCAATAACAATAAAAGAGATCAGAGTAGGCGATCTAATTAAAGGGAAAAAAGAAAAAAAAGTCTAGACTGTGTCCCAAGGTCATTAACATTTAGTACTGTACAGCGAGAACTATTGGTCTCTAAGTAGGATTATCAAAACATTTCATGAATTGTTAAGAATGGTATCTACATCAAGTCAAAGAAATAAAAAAGACGAAAAGTAACCAAAAGTGCTTTGATAATTCAGAAAGTCATGGAATTAATCAGAATGCCAGCTCTTGATCTGTGCTAGCTGCGATTTTATTGTGTGTTTTTTTTTAGAGAGAGAGTTGTAAACTAACTCTCTATAGAGAAGAGTACACTTAAAAAATATTGAGGTACTTACTTAAAATTTCATCTATATTCTCTGTATCAAGACTTGTTATTTCAGTTGTTACAGGAGTAAAAACCCAAGTTACCTGAAAATTTAAAAAATGAGAAATTAATAAATGTGTCCACAAAAGGCAAATACGTAAAAGCGGAAAGTCTAAAAATAAATAAAGTTGATTCCACTTGTTCCTTAGAAAATTATATATCAACTGAATTGAATCTTTATTATCTAGTCTAATCTTTCACTAGATAAATGAAATAGGAGGAATACTAGCTTCTCAAACCTAGAAATTGATCAAATAAAACTTTCTATACTTGCAAATATACAAAATAGCTTCTAAGGAATTAGAAAAACTGAGAATATACATATCTTTTCAAATTAATACTTTCAAGAACTTTAGCGCCACAAGAAAAAATGTGTGAGATTATCAGTGTTTCAAGTATAAATATAAAAACCAACGCTAAGTCTGCTGATTCTATCCTGCCGTGTTTCTAAGACAGAAGAAAATAATGAAGAATGCAAGAAAGACTTTTGCAAGTTGTAAACCAAAAGCCCTTCCTGTATAATTTTCACTTATTGGTGATAACAATGTGTTACATGAGAGGCTATTAAAAAGAAAATAAGAATGTTTTTGCACTTTAATGAACCTGAAATCCAAAATTCAAGTTTATCAAAGAAAATCTTAGCCATCTGCAAAACAAAGAAAATATAAAATTTTAAACTAAACTAGCGTTTTTAAAATTTAAAATTTTAAATTTTAAACTAAACTAAACGTTTACGTATTTTAAAAAGTAAAATTTAGTGTATTTTATTTTTAGTTTCCAACTTTAATCACTTGGTGTTTGCTGCCTGGAGAGTTTTTTGTTTGAAATAGAGTTTGTGTATGGAAATTGACTTACTAAATCACTGCTTTTTACTGAATGACAACTAACGTCAGGCTCTCATCAAAGTGCTGAAGACTATTCCTTTGCCCACCCATTTCCTGAATACTTCAGCACTTACAACAGACTTAAAACTTTTCTAATTCACCAACAATTCAATCTAAATGCTATAAAGAGATACAATGATGCTAGTATATAAATAAGCCCAGCTAAATTTTAAAAATATTTCTGGGCTGGGTGCGGTGGCTCATGCCTGTAATCCTAGAACTTTGTGAGGCCAAGGCGGGCAGATCATGAGGTCAAGAGATTGAGACTCTCCATCCTGGCCAATATGGTGAAACCATATATATATGTATATTATATATAAATTATTATATAATTATATATTATATATAATTTATAATATATATTATATAATATATATATAAATTATTATATAATATATATTATATAATATAATACATTATATTATATAATATAATTATATAATGTATTATATATAATTATATATTATATATATATTTCTATAGACTTATTCTTTTCTTAGGAAAGGCCTAAGGATAACACTAAGTCTTATTTTTAAATTACTATAACGGTGTAGCCAATAACTATCATGTCTGTTAGCAACCAATAAATTATACTCTCCTAAAAGTAGGCTAAATAATTGCAAATCTCTAAATATTTGACTTATAAAACTAATTTCATTATTTTCAGTGCCTCAAACATTAACTGTAAAGATCAGACTTCCCTCACTAGTCATTAGTTACTACTGATGGGGTTTAGGACACATTACTCCAAAATACGGCACGTTGGCATTTGAGGAAACAGAAGCAAAAAGGTCTCCCTGACCTTCTCCTGCCCTTCTCCCCTAAACAGGTCATAAAATAATTCTCTGACATTTCTCTAAAGGAGGTCTTAAGACTCCCCCTAAGAGACATATCCTCTAGACCCTGAGAAAAGGAATATCCCAATCTCTGAGGACACAGAGATGCCAAGAAGAATCTGAACTAACAGTTCCCTCAGTTTATTACTATTAGATCATAACCGCTTTGTCCAGTCGTATGTCTGTACAACTGTTCACTCTTCATCAACCTATGAATTTTTAAAGTTTTTCCCACTTCTTTGGGTTGTAATTTCTGAAGGCTCCCATGTCATGTAAAACTTATATTAAATAAATTTGTATGCTTTTCTCTTGTTAGTCTACCTTTTATTATAGGAGTCTCAGATATGACCTAGAGATGGGTAAGAAATCTTTTCTACTCTACATTATCAATGTCTTCATAACAGATCCTGCCTTCATAAGTATCTGACCAGTTCTACATAACTGTGGATCCCAATAATATTGGTAACAGCAAGATTTTACACTTGTGTGCTAAAGAAAAACTCAAGAAGGCAGAAAAATATTATCATAGAACAATGAAGTTGGCATTATCAAAGTCAAGTCATTAAATAATTCAATAATATTTACAGTGTCTACTAGGTACTAAGGGCACAAATGCATAGAGCATGGTGTATGCTGCCTCAAATCTGGGTAAGTGGGATATCCATTGCTCAAACATCTATCATTTCTTTGTGTTGGGCTCCAAATCTACTCTTTTGGTTATTCTGAAATATTTTTGAAGAGTTAATTATCATCTATCAAAATATGTAGAGAGAATGAATATA